CTTTTTTTTTTTTTTTTTTTTCTCTTTTCGGTGCCTTTTTACAGGAGTTGGGAGGGGGTGGGGCGCCGGGCTGGACGCCCCCATGACTCCACCAACGTTGACGCGTGGGCGGACCTGACTTGGTGTTCAAGGGCGTCCCTTTAACTCCAACAACGTTGACGCGTGGGTGGACCCCTACTTGGTTTAAGGGATAGCATAGCCTAACGTATCTCTCACTCAAGTGTCGCTTGACCTCGATCTAAGTTCGATTTAAAGTCAAAATTTGGTTCGTTGGTCATTGGATAATTCTCTTGAAGAGTGAAATAGTATCTTTGGACTAAACAATGTGAATGCATTATCAATTTAGTCAATTTAGTCATGTTTTTCATTTCTCAGATAAGAATGTATGTCAACTTAATCTTAAGCTTTGACTCATTCTTTGTCTACAAACTTTATACGAATTTCGTGAGGGAATCTTTAAATTTTTTAGGTAACTTCAAGAAATGAGACACACATCCCTATATTAGAATTTGGATTAGATAGATCATTTGAAGGGAGACTCAATGTTATTTTGCTTGAGGGAAGAACTATTGGAGTCTTACGTTGTGGCTAAGTAAGAGGAGAATTGTGGGTGCATAAGTGAGGGACACTCATCATATGATGCTCGAGAAGTATTGTAATAACTTAAATCCACTACTAGAAGATATTGTTAGCTTTGACTCGTTACGTATCGCCGTCAGTCTCACAGTTTTAAAACGCGTCTACTAAGAATAAGTTTTCATACCCTTATAAGGAATGTTTTATTCCCATCTCCAAATCGATGTGAGATCTGAGAGGTACATGAATGAACTGATATCACATCCAAACAAGATTCAAGAAGCAATACTATACTAAATGACTTCGAAAATTTAAATGGGTCCATGTTCCCATTGACCACAAGCTAGAAAGAACAGTGGTTAAAACCAAAAATTTTGGTAACTAAATTTGCTAGTTTCTAAATACTAAATAATAATAATGTTTTAATATTAATATTGGGATAAAATTACAAAATAAATTAGAAAAAAATTAATTTAATTCTTATAATTTTAAATGTTATAATTAGTTTCCAGCATATGGTGATATGGTGATGATAATTTTATGAAATTGTAAAAAATATTTATGAAATTTTATCGCATTATTTGAATTGCAAAGAGGTAATAACTATAATAAATTTGAATTGCAAAAATGGCGCTCTTATTGGAGCGGAGCCAGGGTACTGTCTGGGTCGGCATCCTTCACTTCCGTTTCTTCCACGAGCAGTAAGCTACCGGCCATGGCGATAATCATCCCTGATTCTCAAATCACCACCACTACAACATCTGCTCAGGACCCTTTGTTACCTTGGCTCTGGTATTCCTTCATTTCTTTTCTGTAATCGAGCTGATTCACAATCGTTCTTCCATCCAGTTTCAGTGAAATTGTTGATGCACATTTGGTTCCAATCGCAGGTCCATAAAGGATGCTCTTGAAAATTCGACCTCCGGCAATGTTTCTGGGCCAGGTCTCGCGGATCTCGTTTCCGACTGTATTAAAACCTTCGGCGGCACTGTCAAGTACAAAAACGATGTCCGATTTCTCAAGATTTGGTTTCTCTCTGTGCGTAACTATCTTTCTTTCACTGTTATATCTGTGGGTTTAAAAGTTCAATCATCTTTGTTTCGTAGATGCAGTTGATTAGATAACTTTGACAAATTTTTAGTAATTTCGGTTTATTGATTTTGAATAATAATTAAGATTATATTGTTCGTGTAAGTAGATTGGTATGAGGGAGGATTTTGAAACCGGTTTCAAGGAATTATTGGAGCAGGAGATATGCATTGGCAATTCTTTGCTTTATATTTGGTATGCAGTGTTCCTTGAATCCAAGGGGAGATTAAACGACGCTAACATGATTTACGAGCTTGGCTTGTTGAGGTATCTCTATCTCCCTCTCATGGGCATACTGCTGAACACATGTATGATTATGCTTGTTCCTTACATTTTTTAACTGATAACAGGAACGCTGAGCCCCTTGAGTGGCTGAAAAAGGCAAAAGTGTTGTTTATTGATAGGATGTCTGAGTTAGTCAATACTCATTCAATGAAATTGGTGCGTGTTCTTGAAGCACAGAGCAAATGAGATTATGTTCCTTCAAGTATATAACGTAGGAATTTTGAATTCTATAAATTTCGTTTTTGTAGAATGATGGTGGTGAATCCACTAAATTTGTAGAATCTTACGTGAATCCATGGTCTTCCTCTGTTATGAAAGATTTATTAAGCAAGATTAATCTCAAGATTTTGAAGTATGAGGTAAGAAAGTGCAGTTTTCCTTGTCCAATGATGTATGCAAAGCTAGTTATTACTCTCTTACTAACTTGACTATGAATCTAATGCATGTTTCAGGGATACCATTCAAGCATTAAACCTTACCCTAAAAAGATGGCTCTAAATTCATTGCGGAATTCATCCAGGAATAAAGTTATTGAGATTGGTAATGACATAGTTAGATTTTTCACCTAAATAGATAGAACTACCTTCAGTCAATCCTTCAAAACAGCGAGATTTCTTGAAATATTTTGTAAGAAATGGAGGGAAAAATGTTCTTATTTCATTCATACTCTATTCATCATGATAATTCTAATTCATTTGCCAAAATTTACAGGCGGGAAGAAATATGAGATCAAAGGTTGTGCAGGAACTGGCGGGTTTGCCCAAGTATATAAATCATATCTTGACAGTAACCCAGACGATGTTGTCGCACTAAAGGTAGAAAATCTGCATATACCCTTTACTTTAAGCATTCATAATACGCCATACCTGAATGTGAGCTTGCTGGATGTCCTGATTCCCTTCAAATGCTTGTCAGATACAAACACCTCCTTTTCCTTGGGAATTCTACATTTATCGTCAGCTTGATCAACGTGTCACCGTGAAGGAAGTATGTTGTAGCCCTTTAGATTTTCAGTAAGCGCTTATTACTTCTGAATGTTAGCAACTCGATTTATGCTCATCCTCAATTTCTCACAATGTCAGAGGTCAAGTTTTGGTTGTGCTCATGAGATGTATCTCTATTCTGACTATAGCATACTTATTTGTGACTACTTGGCTCATGGCACATTACAGGTGAATTTTCAGATTCTGAACCTTTCTGTACTGTATGGTCCTTTAAAATACTCACCGTAAGTAACTGTGTGGTTAAAACCTGGTGCAGGATGCCATTAATTTATATGTAGTCCTTGGGAAGACAATGGAAGAAGTTTTGTGTATTTATTACACCATAGAAATGCTTTACATGCTAGAGACTTTGCACAACATTGGCATTATCCATGGGGATTTCAAACCTGACAATCTGCTTATTCGTTATGCAAGGTAACAGTTGATTTCATTAAATAGTTCACTCTAGTTTTCATTTGCAACTTTGGCCCACAAATAATGATCCGCATCGGTGAGATCCCATGTCGGTTGGAAAGGAGAATAAAACATTTTTTATAAGGGTGTGGAAACCTCTCCCTAGCAAATGCGTTTTAGAAACCTTGAGGAGAAGCCCGAAAGGAAAAGCCTAAAGAGGACAATATCTACTAACGGTGGACTTGGACTATTACAAACGGTATCAGAGCTGGACACCGAATGATATGCAAGTGAGGAGGCTGAGTCTTGAAAGGGGGTGGACACGAGGCAGTGTGCCAACAAAGACGCTAGACCCTAAAGGGGCATGAATTGGAGGGTCCCACATAGATTGGAGAAAGGAACGAGTGCCAGCGAGGATGCCGGGCCCCGAAAGGGGTGGATTGTGAGATCCCACATTGGTTGAGGAGGAGAACAAAACATTCTTTATAAGGATGTGAAAACCTCTCCCTAGCAGGCGCGTTTTAAAAACCTTGAGGAAAGTCCAGGGAAGCCCAAAAAGGACAATATCTGCTATTAGTGCACTTAGAGCCGTTCCGGCATCGGACTGAAAAATTTTCTACTCCCATCCTATAATTCTCTACCAATTGACTTTAGTTTGGTTAACCATTATGCAGAGGCAAACTAACGGAAGATGGATTTCGGGAACGTAGTGGTCCTTGGAATGATCAGGTATGTAGGTTCATTATTCCTTGTTTTTGTTCCCAGGACATTACATTAGAGGAGCAAGGAAGATTACCTGTAGCTTTATCTTGTAGGGGCTTTGCCTTGTTGATTGGGGAAGAGGTATAGATCTGCAACTTTTTCCTGAAAATGTAGAATTTGAAGGAGATTGCCGCACTTCTGGCTTTCGTTGTACAGAAATGCTAGAGAATAAACCTTGGAAATATCAGGTCAGTCTCTTC